TAAATAAATGCATTCACAATATATTTATTGTTTCGTGGTAATGACTTCGCGCAAACATATTCGCGATAAAAATTTCACTGTAAAGTGTTCGCGTAAAATGTATTCGCTCTAATAAATTCGCGGTTAAGGTTTCGCGGAAATAAATTCGCGACAATGGCTTCGCTATAGTTTCGCGGAGATAAATTCTCAGAATTAGTTTAGCGATTTTACCTTAGCTATAAAAAAATTTCGCGATAAACAACATTCGTGATAAAAGTTCCGCGTAAAAGTGTTTCGCGATAAAAGTTTCGCTGAATTGACCTGATACGTCCTATTATAAGGGAAAAGGAGCATGTGTGTTTATTTGTTGAGAAGTTAAAGATTTAATGAGAGCAGTGGCGTAGCTTGGAATTTTCCTTAGAGGGGGTCCATACATATAAAAGCCTGGGGGCTTCGCCTCCCAGACCCTAATTTAACGGGCTTTCGGCCCTTTTACCGCGTTTATCTTAAAAATCATATTTGTTTTTCTTATAATATAGAAGTCATAGAATTATCGCCGGGGTGGCCTAGTGGGTTATGATGTAGGCTTGGAAACAGAAGGTCCAGGTTCGATATTGGTAAGGAAAGTAATTTTCGGGTTTTTCTTCGATGAATGATGTGTAAAGACATATGGTAAGATGAATTTCGGAGTGTAGAGATGACACCCCGGTCACCGACAGGCTTGGACAGCCGGGTGCTAAGGATACTTGTCCAATTAACAAAAATAAGGACACAAATGAAAATACGAATATGAAAGCTAGGGCGTTCACTCCAAGCGACGCGCAGGGTGTAGACCTCCATCCTGCGAAAAGTAAAATAAAGGTCAAAGCAAAGAAGACAAGGTTAGCAAGTTTGAATATTGGTACATTTAAAGGTAAGACGAGAGAATAGGCATCAATGTTGAACAAGAGAAAAGTTGACATAGCGTGCATACAAGAGACGAAATGGAAAGGTCAGAAGACTTTAATGATTGGAGATGGGTATAAATTGTACTATAATGGAATTTTTAGCAATAGGAACAGGTCGGCATCATCCTCAATCAAGATCTAACCTCCTCAATGGTCGAAGTCAAAAGAAACTCTGCATTGGTCAATCAATACTACACATCCTTTCAGTATATGCTCCTCAAACGGGTTGCAAGGAGAAGAGAAAGATGACTTTAGAGCTATCCTTGATGAATTTGTAATGGAAATCCCTAAGGATGACCCAGTCATAATAGGTGGTGACTTAAATGCGCATGTGGGAAAAACAAGAGACAGCTACAAAAGGCATCATGGTGGTTTAGAGCATGTACTGAAATTTGCGCAAGCCTTCGACCTTGTCTTAACCAACACCTACTATAGGTAAAAGGACAGTCATTTAATAACATATGAAAGTGGTGCAAGAAAAACCCAGATAGATTATAGGCTTATCTCTCGCAGAAGATTAAAAGATGTAATAGACTGCAAAGTCATCCCAGGAGAAGATATTGCCGCGCAACACAAGCTACTAGTCATGGATTTACACATAAATAAATCCACTCAAAACAAGGATAAAACTTGAAGCATTAAATGGGGTAGATTAAAATCAATGACAGATGCCTTTGCAATCAAAGCAAACATTGAAACAAAAGATTCCTCACAAGTCAGTGAAAAAATATGGACACCTTTCATCCAGATTAATAGACACTGCCAAATCGACACTGGACTTAAGGGGAGGCAACAAATCATACAAAGAACTATGGTGGTGGAATGAAAATGTACAAACCACTATAAAGGAGAAAAAAGCCCTATATAAAATATGGTACAAATCCAAAACCCCAGATGACAAGACAAATTACAAAAAATCCAAGAGAAAAGCTACAAAGGCGGTGGCTAGGGCCAAACCCAAAGCTATGGCATAGGATGACATGTATAAAGAACTACATATCAAAGAAGGGCAAAATAAAATATACAGATTCGCCAAACAGCGAGAAAAGAATTCTAAGGATACGGAGCTCCGAAAGTAATCAAAAATAAAGATCTCAACTTTAATCCCTACATACTACATCTAGACGAACACTCTCCATGTCAAAACCTTATACAACCAATAACAAAACAAGAAATAATCACATGTCTCAAGCATATGAAAAACAACAAAGCTAGGGTACAGATGATATTCCAAAAGCGCTAGGAGATGATGGAATACATCTCCTCACAAATCTGTACAATAAAATACTGGGAAATGAAGAGATCCCTCAAAAATGGAGGCAGAGCTATCAAGTTCCTATCTTCAAAAATAAGGGCGATCCACACAATTGTCAAAAGAGCATAAAACTAATGTCACACTGTCTTAAACTCTACGAAAAATAATAGAAAAAAGGTTAAGAGACATAATCGAAATAGGAGAGACTAAGTTTGACTTTATGCCTGTAAGATTAAAAACTGATGCAATCCACGCAATTAGGCAAATGAGTGAAAATATAGGGAAAAGAACAAAAAGCTACCCATGGTCTTTCTCGATCTAGAAAAGGCCTTCGATAGAATCCCAAGAAAACTATCTGGTGGGCGCTACGCCACAAAAAGGTTCCCGAAAAATATATAAGAATAATACAGGATATGTATAATATGGGCCATCAACAATGGTCCGTAGCACAACTGGTACTTCAACAGGCTTCACAATAGCCGAGGGAGTTCATCAAGGGTCGACTCTCAGCCCACTTCTATTCATAACATTAATAGATGTATTAGCACAGTCTATACCACAAACATTCCCGTGGAATATGGTATTTGCAGATGATATTGCTGAATCCAAGATTGAAATGAAAGAAAGATTAGTGAGCTAGATAAATATCCTAGAAAAGCACGGACTAAAAGTAAATAGAGAAAAGACGGTATATGATGAATAAAGGTTGTTTTTGTAATTTTGTATTTGATTAAATTTTAAAATATATAATTCCATTTTTCTTTTCCGAGAGATTTTTATGATTTTGTCTTGATTATAATATATTTCCCCTCAAAACCAAAATTTGCGCAGATGCCGGATATATTTTTCAAAAATATTGTTTATATTAATTTATATTTTATAATATTTATTCCTATCTCTTTCTTTTCAAATATATATTTAATTAATCAAATTCATTTACTAAGTTATTTTATCAATTATTCAATCAAAAAAGTCCCAAAGGCTAGGAAAATGTTCGATCAAAAAAGGAAAAGTCCTAAACAAAAAAGGAAAATTCCCATTTTAAATCAAAATCGTTATTTCTTTAAATATTTTAAAATTGTTGTCAATTTTTCTTATATTTTTTATTTTTTTCTAACTTTTTGCGATCTCTTTAGTCATTTTTAATATTTATTTTTCTCTTTTCTCAATTTATTTTTCTTATCATTTTTGAAAATTTTTTTTGTCTTTTTAAAAATAATTTATTTATTTTCCCTTATTTTTCTTTATTTCTCTATTTTTATGCCATTTTTAACAATTCTTTTATTTTATTTCTTAAATTTAACTTAATTTTTATTTCTCTTTGGCAATCAAAATTTTTATTAATATTTTTTGCATGTCAAACTATTTCATTACAAATATCATGTATATATAGCAGAGGCGGATGTGTAATTTCTGATTCCTTTGTTTGGAAAGTAATAAGAGATATTATATTCAAAATAATCTCACAGTTTAGCCCAGTTTATAACAATCGGTGGCGAAGAGCTAGTAATCAGGCCTTTAGATCAGTCTGATTCCAAAAGGAAAATATGTATAAATCCATGATAGGCTCTCCCAAGACCAAACAGCGAATAGTGTAGTGTTGGAAGATGGAAATGAGGGAATATACATGGAAAATATATAGAGGGGGAATAATTATAATAGGTTGATATGTATATTTTAACAATAATTTGGTTAAAATGTTAGGGAATTAAGAGATTATGTAGAGAAATCAATTTCAAGTTAAATGGTAATATCAGGTTGATTAATATTGGAAATAACTTATATAAAAATTTGAGGTGGAATAAAATAAAATTTAAAAAAAGGTTATTGTTGAACTTAAAAATCAAAATATCTGATGAATAAGTTTTTAGGTTCAAATAAATTACTCAAAATAAAATAAAAATTTTATGCAAAAGCTTAGTTGTGATTTATTAGGTGACACTTGTAGTTAGGAATAATTTGTTAAATGATATTATATATAGGAAATTGAAACGAATAAGCATGTATGGGTACATAATTTATGTCGATTAAAAGCAAAATTGATAGGATTATTAATTTACCTTTTATTTTAATTTTGAATATTGGGTGAGGTGGATAATATTTAGTATATTGGGTTTTTGATTACCAAAATCCATTTCATGCCACAATTGACAATTAGAGATCAGATTTTTCTTTGGGTAAATGTTACTACTAAGATTTGAGATAAAAATTGTGTAAGCAACATATAGCTTTTTAATTCCTTTGTTCACAAAGTAATAATAAAAGATATTGTATTCAAAATAGCCTCACAGTTTGACTTAGTTTATAACGTAGAAGTTTAAGGTGAAAAGAAGACACGTCTAAATATACAATTTTTACATTTAGTTTATTTGAAAATTTAAAAGAAAAATAAAGAATCAAATTTCATAGTTTAAAACATGCTTAGGTTTTATGAAAATTAAAAAATCTTGTTAAATAATATAGTATTTGAGGCTTTAATTTTATTTTGTTTCAATGTAACTTATACAAATAATGATAATTTTACATGAGTTATAATTCGCAAATGCTAAAATTTCAAATTATGAAATTGATAATGTTAACATAAATTTATATATTTATTAATCATTTGAATTTTTCATATAAAATAAATCTTGAAAAATTTTCTTAGCAATAGTATAAAGTATAATATCGAAATTTTTCAAATTTATTATTATTGTTGCAAAAAATTGAATATTTTGGACAAAAAAGAAAAATTTTCAATAAAAACATTATTAAATGAAATGCAAAGTCCAGCAATTTATTAAAATTATATCACTAATTCGAAACATATGAAAATAAATATTAAAAAATCCATCAGATCTACAGTTTGTATTATTGAAATTTTTTCATCTTTTATCCAAAATATCTACTAAATTCATCTTTATTCGAAAAATTTCCGATAAGTTTTAGTATACTATTTTACTAATCTATGTTATATTATAAATCGATGTGATAAAATAATTTTTTTAATTTTAAGGGCTCCAAATTTGTATTATCGCCTTGATGGTCCTCCTTTTTTGATTAATGTTCTGATACAGTTATCAATCTTTTGATTCATCCTAAATAATTTTTATAAAATATAATATTTTATGGCAAATTATTCAAAATCCTTATCAAGATTGATAGCTAAAATTTTAAAATTAATTATTCATCTCAATTCAAGTACGATAAATAATTTGTGCCAGGCAAAAATTATGTTTTTTCTTTGAACAAATTACTTTTATTTTTCGGGCCAGGTTTTTTACAAACTTCTAGATTGTATAAAGTAAGCCAACTAGGGTGGGATCAATACCAATATATTTGTCTAAAGTTGATTCCGCTCAGTAGCGTCACTAGGGGAGGAGGCAGGGGCTTACTGAAAAATTTGAAGAGCTCCTCAAAATTTGAATTTTTCCTTTATACCAAGTGTAATTTTGATAGCTAAAAAAAATTTAAAAAAAGGTAATTTGAAAATGTAGAAAAAGGTAATTTTTGATAATGTTAATTAAAAAATAAAAGGTAATTTTGAAAATTAAGCCCCAAATGAGATTGTAAAGGTTAGTGACGCCCCTGATTTCGCACAAATCAATTAATTATCCAGATATATTGGCTTCACTCAAATCATTAATTTGCCTGAATACATTAATTTCTCTCAAATAAATAGCGATGATTAGTATCTTATAAAGTATTTTAGGGTAATCATTACCGTTACTTTATAATATAAAATTTTGTGCCTCTTGATTCTCAAATTTTTTTTCGATTTTAATCTTACAGTGGATTAGTAAAATGAATAATTTATTTTTTAAAAAAATTGGACGTGTTGGGGGTAAATAAAATATAAAATTTTGTATGTGATTTCAAAATAAATTAAATTCCATCAGAGAGATTAATATTCGTTCAAACTAGATACTACGGAGACAACATTAACTTTGAGTCCAGATAACAATATTTCAAACTCGATAAAGATTAGGTAGCAAATCATTAAAGTTGGTTCAAGATAACTAATATTCGATCATAAACGAAGCAACAATGCCTACTTCAGCGTGACTATTGGTATTTTGAAAATGAAACCACTAAAAGATATTGGAAGGAAGATAAAATATGTCGGTTCTTGTGAAATATTATAGAATTCTATATTATTCAGATAAGAAATCAAATGGGGTAAGTTAAAGAAAAAAAAATATATATTCTTCAAAATTTTCAATCATATTTGATGGTTAATTTATAATAAAATAATTTGGAATTATTGATAATTATTAATAGAAATTCAAAATTTATAAAACTGAATATTTGTCACGATTGAGAGAACCCATGATGAATTAGAATTCTAAAAGTATGCCTATTCTAAAGTCACAACTGGGCCAGGAATATGGGGGTATTTATGGAGGGCGTGTCATATTATTTAAAATTATTTTGTTTAATATTTATCATATTTATAAATAGTCGCCTGATTTTATATATCACGTGTAGAACTCGTGATTTCTGTAAAGTATAAAAGGGACGAATTTTATATTTATAATTAAATTTTGTTATTTTTTTAAAAATATATTTAGTTGGCGAATAAAATTTGTAGTTGGAAATTTATTACTTTTAGTTTTAGTGATGGTTGGAAAATTTAGTATGAAGATGTATTTTTATATATAATATCTTACATATTTATACTTATGGAAAATCTTCTTGGTTTGTCACATTTAGCCAAAAAACCGTGTTTAAGCCAAAAATTATACAAATACCTTCTAGTATAATTTTATAGCAAAATATATTTTATCCAAATTATTCAAAAATTTAGATGCCTTTAAGTTGTAGCTATGAAATAAAATTTATCTGAAGGTTATAGCATAACTAGAACTCAAGTAATAACGATTTGTATAATATTTATCACCTTGGTATAAGCTGTTATAAGTAAAACAGTTAAAATGATCCTTCTGATTAAATCTGCAAAAAAGAATTTTGAAATATTAACGCTAAAAAATATAAAAAGATATTTTTGAGCAAAAATGAATAAATCAATAATTTGTGTTATATATGGAATAAATTAGTAAAATTAGTTGCAAAAGTGAAGAATAATTGAAATTTATTATGGACCTAAAATGAGCACATTCAAAATATGATATTTTTAAAAATTTATTTATATTCCCTTATTGAGTAGTTTATATGCATAAAAGTTTAATAGATGATGTCAAAATTAAAACTATAAAGTTGAGTTCAAATTTATTTTAACCACGGGTACTTAGCATTTCACCCTAGGTACGGGATAAAATGGCTCACTTCACATAATCATAATTCCTAAATAGGTAGAGTTACACTTTATTTTATTTTTCTAGGTGAAAGATTGATCCATATAAAAATTTATAATTTGTTCTGTTTTGCCTTTATTTAAAATTTTTATGGTAAAAATACAAAATATAAATCGTTTTACTCCAGTCTCCTTTAATCATAAATTTTTATTAAAAATATTCTTTCTTCTTCTAATATATTTAATATTATTAATAAATGGCAATAGGATTTTCCATTTTTAACGATTTTTATTAAAACTCAATTAAATATAAGTATTTACTTCCCTAACATTTATTAATATAAACTTTTATGTAAAAAATTTCTAGGAGTTATAAGAGAGATTCCCAAAACGGGACCATAATAAATGGACACTACTTAAAAAATCGAAATAAAGCAATAAAGATTACTCGTTCCTGTTTCGGTTAGCAGGGTTGTTGTGATTAGGGAATAAGGGAGCTAATTGTGTGATTCTGTTTCCCCCGAAATTCTCGTTAGCGCTATACATATTGCTGACTTGGTTTGATAGGGGGTTAAAATGCTTCTTTTTCTTTATGGAATTCATGATGTTGTCCATCATATCCCTCATGAAACGGTTATTGTTATTGGCATTAAGGTTGGGAATATTGGGATTAGGAGGGATCATTTGTAATAGAGGTTGAGGGAGTGGTTGCCTGTAATTTCTATCTAGGCCTAGTGAATGGTCTATATGACGTGCAGGGACTGGATAATCCTTAGATGAAAAAGAGTTTAAATTCGGTCTTGGGTTGTAAATAAATTCCTCGGCTGCTCTCAAATTACCATCGCGGTTGTGGTTCCCTTCCATTTTAGAAATAAGTTGTCTCATGGCGTCATTCGCTGGATTTTTATAAAAATTTTAATTAGATATAACAATATAAATATAATGACTTACATTATTTCTTGCCTCAGAATAAAAACTAATACATTGAGAATTGATAATAATAAAAACTAAAAAATTTTACTGGTTTTCCCAGATATTTTATTTAAAAAAATTAGAGGATTTTGATATGAAAATTTTAATTTTCTCAAAAATTTTTGAATGTATCTCTCAAAAGAAATATACAAACTCTCCGAAATTTTCGCCATTTTAAATATTTTTTTATATTGTGCATTTAATTTGTTAATTTTTTATTTAATTAATTATCACTCTAGGTTCTCGAGTCAAAATCATGGTAAGTAGGAGTGGGGAGGGTAAATTAAAATATTTCTATCAAAATTGATCATTATTCTAGGTCCTCAGATCTAGGTCATGGGAGAGGTGGGGAGGGGGGGTTAAAAACTTTTCCCAATAATATCACTAGGTATTAAATGAAAGCTAATAAAAAAATTTAAGGCTATTAAAATTAATTGTCACGCTAGGTCATGGAATAAAAGGGGTAAGAATTTTTCTAAAAATATCTCATCAAGGGTATCAAATTAAGGCTAATAAAAAAGCATTTAATCATTATTCTAGGTCCTAAGTCATGATGGTAGGGGGAAGGTCAAAAACTTTTTTAAAAATATTAACAATGGCATCGAATTGAAGCTAATAAAAAAAATTGAGGGCTACAATATTTTTATTATGACCATCGTGCCCGAAAATTCATGGTTTTAAATTTTAAAGACTTTATTGCTATATTTTTGCTTTTTTGATCTTATTTTATCAAAAGTTTTTATTTCTCTAATTTCATAATACACAAAATACAATTTATAATCATAATTTATATTTAGAAAAAGAATAATGACCATGCATTTTTATTTCAATTGTGTTCGCCTTTCCTCTAATAAGCGATTGGCTATAGAAAAAAACCTTTCACCATCTAGCAAGATTAAAAGGTAAAAATATTTTATTGAATATGCAGAGAAACATTTTTGAGATATTGTGAAATTCATATCTTAAAAATATAAAGTACAATATTTTCCAAATAATTTCTGCATAGTTAAAAGTATAAAATACTTTGCAAGTACTATATCAAAATAACAGAAAATTTCTGAATCACCTTAACAAATTATAACAAGTTTCATCCTAAAATAAAGGAAAAATTTTTTATTCATTCATCGTCAAATAAAAGGGAAATTTCTGCTTCACCCATATCAAATAAACGAGAAAGTTATTATAACCCTTCATTCTTGACGGGTTATCTGCTAATTATATATTTTTTGAAATTCCATGTATTTATTACAATTCTGGAGATGAGAGCTTGAAGTGGTCCAAAATGTATATTTTTTACGAAGACTTTTATTCACATTTTTTTGTGAACAATTTTTTTATATAGTGAAAAAGGAAATAAAAGGTGATATAAAAATTGTTAATTAATTAGGTGTTGTGCCATTAGCGGTAATACACTTATATTTTTTAAAATTAAATATTGTATATTTGGGACATGATAACTATTGGAATCAGCTTCCACAGTTTCAAGATTTCATAACTTCAAAAGGTATCAATCAAAATATTTATTAAGGCAATTGTTAAAAATGATTATAAGCCCTCAAACATATCTTACTAAGAAGAAGGGGGTGGGGGTTATAATAAAATATTTTGACATCCGCCTTAAATCAAAGTGAATATAATTTGAAAATAAAAAAAAAGCAGGTAAAGATAAACAAAAAATGTTTAATTTATAAATTTATTTATCTTTTATAGGAATGGCACCAAATAGGAAAAAAAAATTGCAAAAAAGGGGAAATTTCTTGGATTTATTTAGTAAAACCGGGCTCTTAATAATATGAGCCACTCCCTAACATGACCAAAATTCTAAATTCCAATCAAATTCCTATTAACTAACATTAGAAAATTTGATAAATTGGGCAATTGTCAACTTTAGAAAGTGGGCATTTGTTTTTTTTGTTTCATAGATTTATTTATATTATAAAATTTTATCATTTTTTTAAACTTATTCATGTCAAATACAAAATTAAAGAAAACAAATATAACGAGTTATGGTTAATTAAAAAAATGAGGATATTAAATTTCTAAATCATCATACTCAAACAGAATGTGCTGGAAGATTTATTATTTCCAAAAGGAACTGTTCACAATATTCATAAATTCAAAAGAAGACATTATCAAACGCTATGCAAATAAAACATATACCAAATAAACAAACAAAAATAACATTAAATTATATTTCATAAATTAATTTTATATTTTTATTCTTTTTGTATATAACCATTTTATGTATACAATAATTTTACTCATGCTTTTAAAAAATTTAAAAAAAATGATTGAATACAATCTCACTTTTTGCTAAATATGAATATAACAGATGGTAAAATGTTTTTTTAAAGTAAAAAGTTTAGCAAATTGAGCAAAAATCTTGGTCCCATCCTATCCAAATTAGATAGATTTGACTGTGTTTTAATCAGGGTTGTGCATTTGACCGGTCAAATACGTTTCGGTCAATTGACCGATATTTGACAGGCCAAATATGGTCAATTACGGTCAAATGTGGTCAAATTCAAATATATTTTTTTTAAGTTAATATTAACTTTATTTTGAATATAATAGTAAAATGAATCTATAATATTAATTTTTTAAATTCATTCAATAACTAACGTGTAGCTATCTGTATCAGAGTCTTGTTCTGATTCATATTCAATATTATCATTTTCTTTAATATTTTTTAAACAATTTTCCTGATATCTTAGATCTTAAATCGATTTCTATTTTCATAAGAATATTAACCCAAATCGACCTATTTCTTTATAAAGAAGAAGTAGAACTAGGAATTGTTAGTCTCTTAATGGGCAGGGTAGACAAAGTTTAATCTATTAACTTGAGGTCGGAATTGATTGTTTCTGGAAATTACTACTTTCCACATATTTTGCTATATTAAACATGCTGTTTTTGCTTCTGAAATTAATTATATCACTTAAAATATTTTGGTCATCACTACCTTGTAAAATAGCTAATTCTTGAATTATATCACATACTTCATTAATTTCACTACTAGTGAGTTTTCCTCTTGATATTGTGGACCCGAAAAATAAGCAAACATTGTGATCACATGTATTTACATCTTTTTTCCCTTTTTTAAACATATTTTTAATTTATTTTTCCTTTAAATTTTTTAGAGTATTTGACCGTATTTGACAGGTAAAATACTCCTCCGGTCAATTGGCCGGTCAATTGACTGAATTTGACTGGTCAATTGACCGACTTGCCAACCCTGGTTTTAATTGCATAGATTTTAAATAGAACTGAATCAAAGATTTTTTAAGTAAAAGATACAAATATTTCAGAGAGTTTTTGGAAGAGCAATATCGCGAATACTGGGATTAAAACCTAAATAGAAATACTTTTTTATATTTATTTGGATAATTTCGAGAATTAGTATTTTTATTTCATTTTGCATTTATTAAGATTTCAAATATTTTTAGTTTTTTTTTCAATTATATTAATAAAATTGAATTAAAAATGCAAAATTTACAATTTATTTCTAATATTTATGATCCGAGTTAGAAAAAAGACTCAAAATCTTATCTGTTTCATCCTATTTTATTAAAATGAGCAACCTTCATACTAAAAATGAAACCATTCCAGTTGCACTGAGTTGAGTTTATAAGATATTTTTAGTAGAGTATCTGAAAGAGTCTCAAATCTATTAATCAAAAAATATAAAACTAAACACCGTCTAGCGCGCACCAGTTGAGAAAATAATTACTGAGCCAATGTGTTAATAGGTAAACGGAGATGCCTTGGTGATAAAAATTTTAAGAGTGTTTACTAAAAAAAGTTAACAATTAATTATGTTTTTAAAACACTAAGCCACAAAAGTTGAAAGGCTACAAAATCATTGCTCCCAATAGTTTAACCCTACTTGGGTACCCATTAGCCAATGCTACCAAGTCTGAAGATTTCCTTCAGAACATTCTTAAAAGCTTTTACAGCATGGAGCACATTCTATGTCACCTACCGGCACACCAAAGTTTATTTTTAATAGGCAGATACCTTTATATACCCAAATTTTGCACATTTTCTGATCATCATCTTTTTTCAAAAACAACGAATTCATATCTATAATTCAGGATAAATTTAAAATATTTCTAGAAAAAATTTTAAACAAAAATTTAAACTCATTCAATTGGTCACTTGCTCAGCTACCTTCTAAACTTGGCGGTTTAGATTTTTTGCCACTCAATCTTTTATCCTTCATCATTCGTATCATCCAGATTTCAAACAATCCTATGATTTCTGGCTTCATATGTCCTACCGATCGTTTATTAGATGACGCTATTGACAAATGGAAGGCAAATATACCCATTAACACGGACTTACCATCAATCATCACACAAAAAAAATTTCACACCTTTAATCTAGAAATACCAAACAGATATATCAGTCAATTCCACCTTTAGATTGCATTCAACTCCTTCAATTATCTGACAGACTTGGTAGTCATGAATGGTTAGAATCACTCCCTTGTCGTAGCCTTGGTAATCTCTTATGAGGTAAACAATTGAGAGTAACCATTGGTTTACGTCTAGGTTGTGACATCGTACAGCCTCATGCTTGCATCAAATGCAAATCACCCGTTGATTCAAAGGGAAGGCATGGCTTTAATTGTATATTTTGTCAAGGGCGACACCAACGCCACACAGCAGTAAACAATATAATAAACAGAAGCCTAACAGCTGCTCACATTCCGAACAATCTTGAACCATCAAACTTATCTCAAGTGGATGGCTTAAGACCTGATGGTATGACAACCATACCTTGGGCCTTCGGTAAATCACTTATATGGGATTACACATGTGTCTCATCATTCCCTTCAAACATAAATTTCAATTTAATAACACAGGCAGAAATTAAAAAAACAAAAACAAAAATTTTAAAAACTTTATATTCACTCAAGTAG